ATATCACCACGAAAACCTGACAAAACATTTTTGCGCCTCGTGAGTCCACAACATTTTTACCACTGTGATGGCGCGTATCGTTGTCGATAAGAGTACAGACCACGCTAAACCACATTCGATTTGCTCATCGAATTAAAATAGGATTAACAAATCGAATGTGGTTTAGCGTGGTCTGGCGTGGTCGGCGCAGCCGAGTGAGTCCACAAAAACTTTTGACCACTGTGATGACGCGTATAGTTGTCGATAAGAGTACAGACCACGCTAAACCACATTTCGATTTGTTTTTTTACCACAATATCAACGTCAAAGGAAACGTTTTTTTTTTCAGAGCGCGAGCTGAAGAAGGCATTGCGCGACACAGTGACGCGAGCAGCATGGTATGGACTCTTGTCGATAACGGCAAATTAGCCAATCAGATTGCGAGATTAGCAGCAATTGTGGTAAAAAACAATATTGAACACAAACAGTCGCACTAAGAAGGAAATGATGACCCTGCTTGTAGTATGTAAATGTAAAACAATAAATGTAAATGTAATTTTTATTTAACCACGAAACACGAAAGAGCTCTCATGAACTTTTATGGGGGTGCCCACTCTCACACAATTGATACAGATAAAGAGATTAACAGTGACAAGAGGTGTCAATGGAAATTCACAGATTCTTCTGGCATTGATAAAGGGAAGCACATACCCTGGAAATGTCTCTCAAGTTGAACAAGTAGTGTATCTTGGTTGGTGTCGGAAGCATTTTAGCGATGATGGCGTTGTAGATGTCAATGGTGGCCTGAAAGAGACACACAATAAGATAAACATAGGCACGCAATGATGAATCTGTGCATAGACTATTAATGAGTTGTCAGCTAGAAGCCGCAGTATCTCAAGTTACCTGAGTCATAAGATCACCCAGAGCCTTCACGTCTTCTTCAAAGTCCTGCAACTTTTGGTTGATCATGGTTCCAAAAATGCGCTTGATTTGACTTTCCTGCAATCAAAGATACCAAGCACAATGAAGAAGGAGAAGCGAAGAGGTGAAAATGAGAGGAGAAGGGAGGGAAAGGGTGTAAATATTACACTGTTCTGCAAGTACCTTTTAGCTCTTGTCTCGTTGGCAGCTATACAGCAGGAGTTGGTTACTTCTCGGAAGAGTATCAAAAAGCGTTTTCTCCGTATACATTATCACGGTGTTACTGAGCAAGCATGTGTTACCCACTACAATTATTACACAACTTATTTTCTGATATGACTACCGCTGTGACTCTACAGAGAGGGGAATTTACTTGCGTTGCTTACCTGAGAGAACTTTACTTGTGTTGCTTACCTGAGGGAAAGTCATGTTGATGAGGTTGAATCTGCTTTGCAGTCTCTTGGAGATCACCATCCTGCCGCC